CGGACACGATCGTTTCTTTCGTGAGGCTCTAGCTCAATTAGGGGCGAATCGGCGAAGGGGGTTGTTCCCTCACTTCCAACCCCCCAATGCCTCCTCGGTATTCAGAGAGTTAAAACGTTGCTCCTGAACGAGGAAGAAATGTAAAAGTCAAAGCTCTATAGACGTCCTGTAAAAGTGGCCATAATAAATAAATTGGTTAGAGATAAGATGCTTTTTAAACGACTTCCTCATATAAAATCGGGTGCTGGGACCAATCTTATAAACGCTTTAGAATGGACAGGGCGTCACTGGCTAAAGTTTGGGTGCAGAAAACGGCTATTAAATGCAAAATGGTTTTCATGCATTTCAGTCAATTGTATATTGACGGTCCCAGTGGCCGAGCTAAAAAAAGTTATGTAGTGTTTTGCATCTTTTACGCCCTAAGAAACTACACCATCTGTTGAAGTGGGCGGGCTTATTTGAATGGGAGGTCGCATTATGCACCAATCGTGTGCTTTCGTTTGTTTTGGACTGTATTTTACCACATCCACTGCTGGTATCACTATTTATTATCTAATGCCGTGAATACGACAGCATTCCATTTATAAAATTCGACCAATGGAGTCGCGCCCCGCGAGCTCGGTTTTCCGCTCGGCCGCTACGGGCCGAAGAAGTCGGTCTTCGCCTGAGGGCAGGACGGAGGTCAGCGAGGGAGCGCGGGGTCAGCCAGGTCAGCCCAGTGCCGAGCGGATGCCGCTCCCTCCCCTCTCTTCCCCTCTTCTCCCCTCCCCACCTCGGTATAGATGGGGAGGGACCGAACTGCCAATGACATGCGAGCGGTCAAGGCCGCTCGCGCGCCAGCGACCCTGGCGGCCGGGTGCCGCAACTGGGATTCAGCCAAGTTAACGAATCGCCTCCTGTGGGAGAGCCAAACCAGGGGACATACTTTTTATATATACTGTACAGCGTGATGCCGCGTATCGCTGTCGATTGCTGAATATGGCAAAGGTTAAACAGATAACCTGATGCCGGGTCCCCCTGTCTAATTCCTCGATTCATAACAATTTTGTCTCCAAGATAACCGTCTAAAAGAATCCGGGAAAAGTTAGATTTATTTAGGTAGGGGAGAGTGGGGTGGGTTGTATCAGTTTTTACTCCGAGACCCATAACCTCGTAACTATCCGTGATAAACTCATTATTTCCATACTATCTCCTTCCTTGATTCTTCTGCTTTTTTGTCCGAAGTAACTTTTCCGCTACCTCTACCAGTTTTTCTTCTACGGTCTGCCGAATAGAACAATGTTTTTGATACAACTTGCCCCATGGCTTGGGTGAGTTGTATCACATGGTGGGGTAATTTGTATCACTATTTCACGTTTCAGGGAGTGTGCTTGCTACTGGTTTTGAGCATAACAACAACATTAAATGGGGTTTATACAATGTATATGCTCAAAGGCTTCACTTTTATTAGACCAAACTTAGGTCAATCCGAACGAAACATCGAAACGAACGAAACATCAACAGACTAGACGCAAAAGTGGCCCGTTAAGAGCAAAGAAGCCAACACATTGTGCCGAAATGGAACGAGTATTGACTAGCTACCTACAAACGCGAGCCAGGGCTTAGCTTTCGCGATCAAAAGCAACATACCCATGCATACATACATACATACATGTTACAACATACCCCACCCGGCTCTGATACAACATGTACCTCGCCGCCATCTTGGAAAAAAACATCCTCGTGCTCAAAAACAGCGGACAGCTGGAGAAATCCATTTTCACTCACGCAGCCTTAGAACCTACCCTCACCACCGCTACGGAGATCTTTCAAATTCGTGCACATCTAAATGCTCAAAACACACATCTTCATGCAACTTATTTTTTTAGAATGACATTAAAAAAACATAAAATCGGCTCTCACCTCGAGACGCGTCCACCCAGCCACACGACAGAACAGGGAAAGATGGCGCCCGGAAAACCTCGTCGGCTGGTCGTGTCACGAGCGTCATCCATTGGATAAGTTTGACACAATTAGCCCTGATACAACTTGGACATGATACAACTCTCCCCGCTCTCCCCTATGTAAGTTGTATTAAAGGATATAAAGTTTTGACCAAAATTGCAACAACTTAGTACGTTTTCTAGAAAACTCCATGATATACTTTCGAAAGTGGCTTCGAAATCTGCTGCAACTATAAAACCGGCGCCTTTTTCTGCATTTATTTTTTCGATAACGTCATACACAAGCCTACTGTTCTCTGCAATACATCGTCCTTTGATGTATGCTGATTGAGATGGCGATATTATATCGTTAATCACACTCTTTAATCGATTTGTTAATGCTGATGATATTATTTTAAAATCTACGTTTAATAGAGAGATGGGTCTCCATCCTTTCAATGAATCCGGTGATTTTCCAGACTTTGGTATTAAAGTTACGACGGCTTCTCTATGAGAGCCAGTGAAAGAGCCTTCTTTTACGCTGTCTTGAAAAACTCTGAACAAAAATATTCCGAGGTATTCCCAAAAGTGTTTAAAAAAGCTCGCTGTGAAGCCATTGGAACCAGGAGATTTTCCGTTTTTCATTGATTGAAGTGCGGCAGTTAATTCTGACATCGAAATAGGTTCTTCTAGGATTTCTTTTTGTTCCTCTTTCAGTTTATTTTTTACATTAAGCTTGATGAATTCGAATGAATACGTTTTGTGTACATTATCTATTGTATTGTATCGTGCTCGTAATTGCTCGCTGAAAGCAGATACTATTTCTCTCTTTTCTGTAATGATTTTGTTGTCAGATTTAATCATGTGTATAGACTTGCGTTTAGCGTTTGTTTGTTCTAGAGACAAAAAGTACTTGGTACACTTTTCACCTTCATCGTGCCATTGCACCCTTGATCTGGTAATTAGCCCCTGAATTTTTGGTTTCCTTATGGTTTCTAATTGTTTTTGAGCGAGCAAAAGACAATCTGCATTCGCCTCTTTCGAGCTTAGTGCAAATTCCTCTCGTAGCTTATTAAATCGTGATATTATCTGTTGTTCTTCATCGCGAGCTTTTCTTGATTTTTGTTTTGAGTATTTAATGGTCTCCCTTCTAATAAGTATGAGTAGTGTGTCATAAAATAATTTAATAGAAATAGTAAATTGGATTTCTCTAAAATTCTTTGGGCTCGATACAAAGGAGGTTGAGTACACTGGATTCGCGTATTGTTTTATTGTTTCGACTATTACCGATTCCACAATCGATATGTATTCTTTGTCTTGCAAGAGGGAGTCATTAAATTTCCATAAGCCCGGGCCGCGGGGTTCTGTGGTTATTTTCAAAGACATTGTTACGCAGTTGTGGTCAGTTCTGTATCCAGACAAAATATTGATGTTGTCTGTAAAATTAACTAGGTGGTCGCTTACGAATATCATATCGATTCTGCCGTGTTTTAACGGGTTACGTTTGAGCCAAGTAAATTCACGTAGGTTAGGGTGCATATGTCGCCAAACATCTATTAGGCTATGAGTTTGAGTTAATTCAATAAATTTGTTTTTCGCGCGTATGTTATTATCATGAAGGTAATTTGAGTCTGTAATGCGATTGATCACAAAATTAAAGTCACCGGCAATAATAATGTTATCTGGCGGAACTTCTTGTAACTTCTGGTTTATACCGGGTGGCCCAGAAAAAAACGTTCCCAACTTTAAATCAATATTTCTCAGAAAATGATAAAGACACAACATTGAAACTTCCAAGAGTCAATGCGGCATATATTTTCAGTAAATTGTATTATTTGTATGTTATTCGGGCAATTACCTTTTAAATGGTTCGTGTTTCTAGCATGCCATGTAAAAATTACTTTTTTGCTCAGATGTTTACTAAAAAAAAATGTGAGTGAACGGGCCACTTCCATCTCCGTACCACGGCCGGCAGCCATGACTGCTACTGCCAACTAGCCTCACTGATTGTTCAGGCCTTAGGGTGTCACATTCCCTGTAGCTTTTTTCCTTGTTCGGTCGATTTACTGATTGATCTTCTTGAAGGGAGGGCAATGGCAGCAGTAACCCATGCACCGCGCCACTCCTGCTCGAAACAGGACTCTGTTGCAACGAATGGCATCCATTAACACCATTTTGGCTCAGTATTTGAATATTCGGCACATAAGTGGGACAAAATATTTAAAATAACATCACTCGTGCTGGTTTCATTCGCGTGTACCATTTTTCTATTTTTTCCCTTTCATGTTACGTCTAAGCCAATCATCACTACCGTCCAACATCGGCAAAAAAAGCAAAAACGTCTTACTTAATTCAACATAAGATTGCTGGCTTGAAAATGATGATAGAGTGTTATAATTTGGCATACCAATGCGCAAAGAAGTGACGCAAACTTGATGAGAATTTTGGCTCGTTATTTGCACTCAACTTTGAGATATAGGCCTCCAAAGTTCGGAACGTTTTTTTTTGGGGGGGGGCACCCGGTATTTTCAAACAGTGATGGACAATCATCATTTGGCCCGTAAATGTTCACGAATGTATATATGTTTGAAAGGATTTTGCATACGATTAAGATGTAATTACCGTTTGGTTCGTGTTCTTCAGCTATAATATCGTGGTGCAAATTTCGCCTAATCAGTATTGATGTACCCCTACTGTTAAATGTTCCACAAGAATGGTAGCCCGTTCCAGGCCACAGCCTATCAAAATTTGCAATGGACTCATTGGTAATATGGGTGTCTTGTAAGAATATTATGTCGTACTTGGAATTTCTTAAGTAATTCAATACATCTCTTCTTTTTTGCTGACCGGACAAACCTCTACAATTCATTGACATGAGTCTTAGATCAGTCATTGGAGTTTGCTTGCGTACTAAGGTTTGTGACAGTGGAAAGGTTAGAGAGTGATTTTCTATTTATCTGTCTATGTCTTTGCATGAGAATCAGTTGGCTATCGTGGTAAAAGATGTCCGGTCTAAACTGTGTGCATATCTTGAGTGTAATGAGAGCAATATTGAAGCTGTGAATAATGAAAGGGTTCTTACGTCGGGTTTGATGGATGGAAGAGGATGCGACGCAGCTCGGCCTCGCCCCCGTCAGCACCGGCAGACGCCGGAACCCGGACGCAGGCGAGAGCAGACCAGCGACGGCCACCAGCACCGGCACGAGCGCCGCCGCCGCCGCCGCCGCCGCCGCCGGGGCCGCCACCTCCGCCCTCCCCGCCGAGACGACGGCCACCTCCCCGAATGAAGCCGAGCCCGACGAACGAGCCGCCGCCGCCGCCGCCGGAGCCGAGGCCACACCAGCAATGCGTTGTATCTCTGAGCAAATGCAAATTGCAAACAGCGCCAGAACAAAGCAAACACGCAGGCCGCTCATGAGGCCTGACAGTCATGGAGGTTGGGAAACGCGATAAACAGAGCAGAATATTCAAGCATACATGTAAACACAAAAATGCAGTTGGACAAACACAAAACAAATTACGAATAGATGGGGAACCTGCGGTCATAAATGCATGATCTAAGCCATCAATCGTTAGAGATAGAACAAGATGCAATAATGAAACCATAAATGAAACTATGTAAAGAAAAATGAACAAAATTAGACAATAACCTAAAAAAAAAAAAATAGAAACACGGAGCCTGCGACACTACAATATTACACGTAAGAAATACATATTATCATCTTACACACCAAAACAATGGCATTCACCGAAAGATACAAAAACAACCATCAACGACGCTGAGCGGGCAGCTTAACCTATTGTAAGTGGCGAGTCTGCGCTACCCACGCTTCACCAAGCTACTGACAGCGTGGCCAGTCGACTCGGCGTACCTGGCACCGCTCTCACCAGAGCAGCGCAGACAGACCAGGCACTGCTGCTGCTCTGGCACTCACCGCTCCAGAACGCTGTACCCGAGCTCACGCACTCGGTCCACGGAGTTCACCCTCGTGCTCACGCCAAACTGCTGCTGCTTGAAAAAGACGTGGCCGCTGATCTGTCCGCTCTGACGATCAATTCGTTCGGTCGGAAACGCAAAGCACGTACCGCGCTCACAACGTTCTATTCACAAACGCAAAGCACGTACCGCACTCACAACGTTATATTCCCGACTGACTCTCACTCACCCGTCACACCACAACGGCTGCGGAAACGACCCCGGTCGTTTCCGTCCGTTCACAGCGCCGACAGCCCACCGTGCCCCGGGGACCAGGCGGACCCAAACACAATCAATCGCAGTGCATAACCCTAATACATATCAACTCCTCCCCCCTAAGTTAAAAAAAACGAAGGCAGAAAAAAACATAGCTTGCTTAACAATGCGCCAACCTCACCAAGATCTTTTTTACCAGAATCGAGCGGGTATCACCCGCTCACGGCCCGACCGACGCGGGACGGCGGCGGGCTGGCTGGACTGCACATTGCCGCTAGCTACATCCGGGCTTGTCTGACCCGAGGTGTCCGCGGAAGGTAGCTCACCTCCGCCAGGATCAGACGCGGTCACACTCCTATCAACTGACAAACTGTCAGCAAACCGAGCTCGGAGGTGGTCGATATGGCGCCGAAACCGACGACCGTCCGGCAGCTGGACGTCATACTGACAGCCAGACGCGGCCACTACCACTGCCGGCTGCCAGAGGCGCTGGCCCACCGACGACACATACACCCGGTCACCCGGCTCGAATTGTCGCTCTCCGGTACAGTGCCGGTTGTTCGCCAGTGTTTGTCTTTCCTGTTTGGTCCGGACTCGGTCGAGCAGAGCGCCGTCTGGCTGCAGCCGCGTCAGATGGGTAGCCATTGGCCGGCCATAGAGGAGCTCCGCGGGCGTCACGCCGGTGGTGGAGTGGGAAGTTGTGCGATACTGAAACAGCACCCGACTTAGGCGCGTCTGGAACGACCCCTCAGTCTGCTTCTTCAGACCGATCTTGATCACTTTGACAGCACTCTCTCCCTGGCCGTTCGACTTCGGGTGGAGAGGTGGAGAGAGCACGTGCTGTACACCATTACCGGTAAGAAACTGACGGAGCGCGTCACCGGTAAACACCGCCGCGTTGTCACAGACTATCACACGCGGCACTCCGTGTTCTGCAAAAGCCATCCTCAGCCTCTCAATGGTCGCCTCCGCCGTGGGCGACGCAGTCGGGTATGCCGATATCCACTTAGAATGCGCATCAACTAGCACCAGGATCATTTGTCCGTCCACCGGGCCCGCGTAGTCCATATGAAGGCGATCCCAGGGCGCCTCCGGATACGGCCAGGGGCTTTCAGACACCGGAGTGGCCTGGGGACGGCTCAGCTGGCACGCGTGACAGTTACGCACCGCCGACTCAATTGGCGGCGTCCATGCCCGGCCACCACACGTGAGCACGCCCTTTTGCCTTCATGGCCACCACTCCTGGGTGTCCTTGGTGTAGAAGTGCCAGCATAGATTTCCGCAGAGCAGCGGGTACCACAACACGGGTTCCCCACAGCAGGATTCCAGGCTGGACACTGAGTTCAAGTCGGCGGTGGTAGAATGGCTCCATACCGTCACCAGCCGGCTCAGACCAGCCGCCGATTGTTGCCTGATACGCACGCGCCAGTACTGGGTCACGGGCGGTGCACCGACGGATCTGATCGACACGAATCAGCTGATCCACAGACTCCAGAAGGCAGACGATATCTCCAGGATCCGGAGCACTGGTCGGGTACACCGCCAGAGGGAGACGGCTCAGTCCGTCACTGTGAGTCTGCCGAGCTGAGGGGGCGTACACCAGCTTGTACTGGTACGCCTGCAGCGCCATGCGCCACCTGGCGACACGAGGCGACACCATAAGCGGCAGTGGTTTGTCGCCACTCAGAAGGCCCAACAGCGGTTTATGGTCTGTCTGAATGAAGACGTGTCGACCACACACGAACTGGTGAAATTTCTTCACCCCGAAGACCACAGCCAGGCCTTCCTTATCCAACTGACTGTAGTTGGCCTCCGCCGCCGCGAGGGTCCGTGAAGCATATTCCACTGGCCGCTCAGTCCCACAGCTGTCTATCGCCAGACATCGGTAGGATTGTGATTGCAGGATTGCAAAATCCTGATTGCATTCCTTTTTGGTGGATTGCACCTGGATTTGAAATCCATTCCAAAAAACAGGATTTGATTGCGGATTGGATTGCATTATACTTCCAAGTTTTGCAATCCAATCCGTTTGTGTTTGATTAGTGCTTTGAAATGGTTTGTTGCGATTGAAAATTATGAGATCGGCTTCATCGGCTTAATGTACTTTGCTATCAAGGGCTTTACATCGAAACTTGAAATGATTTAAACGCTTTTAATTTAAACGCTCAAAATAATATACGCTGATGAACTACATAGGAAGGGCAAAATTACGTATTTGAGGGCAAGTTTTAAAAATATAAAACACTGGTTGGGTAGAGGTTTAAATGTGGGGGTGTTTGAGGCAAAAATATTTCCCATAAAATACCTGTGCCTTAACCCTATTAGTGGCAGGGGGGTTGTTTTTATCCACCCCTCAGGTTTTTCGGGAATATCTCCGAAACCGCTGAAGCTACGATGCTGAAATTTTCTGGCTTTTCCTAAAACTAAATTGGGCACATTCCCTGAAAATTTCAAGTTCATACCTTTACCAGGGGCGGCTCCAGAGCACTGGGAATTGGGGGGTCCTATTCGTGAAGCGAGTCATTCGGGGCGAAGATCACGATACTGATGTATTATAACTGTATACCTACACCAGTTTTACGAACATTGAATGAAAGATATCATGTGATAACATATACAAAGTTATTGTGCATCCTCTTTTAACACGTTTTTGCTATAATAGGCGGATCCAGGCGTCCAAAAAGGGGGGTTATGTTTTACCTCCCAACATAGGTGCCCTGACACCGCCTATGCATGACCAATACAATTGTAGTCGTCTTCTCATAAGAAAATTGTAACATAACAAGACCATTGCCACCCTTTTTAGAAACAGTACCAACAAAAACCTTATTTACTATACTTTTTGTGTACCCCCAATCTCAATTATCTGTATCCGCCTATGATTTTTGGAAATGCATATTTTTAGGATCCATGTGAATTCCTGGTTCATTCTCTATCGATCGGCAAAAGTTGCGTTAAGATTGGTTCAGAAACCTGGCCGTGATAGACAGTCTAAAATGTATCTACAATTTGCCCGTTTTTACCCCCCTCTACCCCCCCCCCCCCTATTGACATTTTTAATTTTTATTTTTTAGAAATGTAGATCACGTCGAGCGAAATCGAATGCCGTTTGAATTTTGAAAATCGGCCCGTTAGATCTCGAGATATCAAGGGGGGTCGTAAACAGCCCCCCCCTGCCACTAATAGGGGTAGCCAGGAGCCTGCCACTAATAGGGTTAAATATAGGAATTACTCGCAAGACTAGGTACTAGAAATGGGTGATTTGAGGATGGAGGCACGGCCCTATGCCCCCCTCCCTCCCCCAGATCCAGGCCCAGATCCACTAGTGCACATAATAATACAACAGGATTGCAAAAAAGGATTGCGGATTTGATCACAATCCAAGTGAAAAAAGGGGATTGCGGGTAGGAATGCAATCCACTTCGGCACTAGGAATGTGGATTGGGAATGCAATCCTTTCAAAAAGGATTTTACCGATGCCTGTCTATCACTGACAGCACCGCGCCGAGCCCGTATGGGCTGGCATCCACCGACAGGACGAGCGGCAGGGCTGCATCGTAGTGCGCGAGACACGGCGCCTGCACCAGCAGCTGTTTGGTGCGAGCGAACGCCGCGTCCTCGGCTGATCCCCAGCGCCACGGCTGATCCGCCTTCAGGAGCCGATACAGCGGTGCCGCCACGGTGGCCAGGTTGTCCAAGAACTTCGAGTAGTACATGAGAAGACCCAGGTACGCCTTCAGCTGCTTGGTGTCTGCACGTGGCGGCGCCTCCGCCACCGCACGCACCTTCGCGGCTGTGGGATGGATGCCGTCACGATCAACGCGGTAGCCCAGATACTCCACGTCATTTGTCATCCACTTGCACTTGCTCGGATTCAGCCGAAGACCGGCGTCCAGCAGACGCTTCAGCACCGCTTCCACGTTGTGGCGATGTTCTTCATCATTGTGGCCCGTGATGCACACATCGTCGAGAAAAACGGCGACGTGCGGCAGGCCAGCCAGGAGCTGCTCCATCAGGCGCTGGAACGCCGCAGGAGCGGACGATATGCCGTACACGAGCCGCGTCGCCGCCATGAGACCACGATGAGTGTTTATCACCGTGTACCTTTGACTGTTCTCGTCTAGAGGCACCAACAGGTACAGTCACCAGCAGTTGCTACCCATCACCCCCGGACGGCGGGGGAGCAAGCTACCACCGCCCCTGCGAGACTAGCGCCGCCATGCGCCAAGAAGTGGAAGCACCACGTGACTGAGGCCACGTGAGGGCAGGGTCACGTGATGGAGGGGCGGAGCATAGTAGCTTTTGCGCCCGACACTAACTGAAATGCGGCGCTGTGATTGGGCGCCTTAGCATGAATGAAGCCCCGGCGCCAGAATCAGCCGTTCGCCTTATATGGAAAGTGAACCTTTGCGTTTCACTGTTCTGTATTGGGTTGAGAGCCACGGCACCATACGAATTGTGAGCCCCTTTGAACGGGTCACCGCCCGAGGCGCTGAGGCGACGGCTGTGCCGGGCAAAGTCTAGCCTGGTGGGAGAGGTGGGCCAGGGAAAGTGCGATCGAGCAGCCACTGGGACGTGGATTGGTATTATCCAACCGCGACAAACGACGTCAGCAGCCTCTTCTCGTGTCATAGACAGTGTCTATGACACGAAAAGCTAGACAGACAACGTGGGCAGTGCCCAATCAAAAGCTACTAAACGATCCAGTTAAGAAGTTGGCGAGGTAGCCAGACCAAATAAAAAGTTTTTAATTCGATTTTGGTTGACAAGTGACATACAAGCCCGCTGTGATGGACCAAAAAAGGAAGGAGCTGAACAGTTCATACAACTTCTAAAAAGCTCAACGATTTAAAAATTCAAAAGTTAAATATTAAACTTCAGCCTGCATGTTTAAACTCTGGTCCGGCGCTGGCAGGAAGCTTATATTGCCACTTACAATTCCACTACGTCGTAAAAGTTATAACCAATAGTTCTGTGAGAGCAGCAACTGAAAGCCCCGTTGAGAGGGGGGAGGGCGGCGCGAAACGGCCCCCTCTCTCCTTTTCAGTCGATATCTCCTAAAGTATAGTAAATGTCGCCACCAAACTTTCAAGACCCCTCCGGGCATCATTTATACACCTTGTGACCAAATTTTTCCAGAGCTCTTATAAAAGGTTAGTCACAAATGACGTCAGAGGGATGTCATGTTCTGTCATTTTCGACCCAATAAAAGGTTTAGCGGGAAGAGCTGTCACGCTTACAGTTCTGAAGACAACGAAAAATATTCAAGATCAAAAAGATGTAAAATAAACAGCGCTACCAAACTGCTAGCTCTTATTAATCGGTGAAAAATGCGACCTTTGACCTGACTTGTGACGTCATGGGTTGCACCTAGGTCAACGAAACCTGGTAACAAGGTAGTTCCCTGGTGGGGAGTTGACCGGTGACCGCGGGCAGAGGCGGACGTGCGCGCACCGCTCCGCTCCCGACGCCTGTGGAGCGCGTCCCCAGTGGTGAACGGTGCCCTGCTAAGCCGGCGACGATTGAAACCAAGTAGTGACTATGCCGACGGACGCCGCGATTAGTGCCGAGGAGCGTCATTCCGTGAGTGACCTAGTCAGGAACTTCGGTGACCCACTCACGGAGAGTCACGGTAAGCGAGACAGGTCAGAGTCTGGCGACTCAGCTCCAGCAGGAAAGCGCGGCGCTCGGGGAACAGACTCCACCGAGCCAAGTCCGTCATCGCGCAACACCAACCTCAAAGGCTACCTGGACGTTGCTCTGGAGAAGTTAGAAGATAAGTTAATGTCATCAATATCAAAAGATCTCCACGAGTTTCGAGAGATCGTCGCAGCTGAGATCAGCGCTCTAAACGACCGTGTCCGTGATTTAGAGCGTCACGTAGAAGAGCGCGACAACGAGGTTGCCGATCTGACAAGAGATCTCGCAGCTGCGCGCAGCGACATCAAAGCGTTGCAAGAAAGAACAGAGAACGCCGAGATGAACTCTCGCATCCCCTGCCTGATTTTGTCGGGTGGAGCTATGGCGTCCCGGCGCAAAGCTGTCCTGGGCGCGCCCCTGCCGGTCGACGGGTCAGCGCCTCGGGCCCCGACGTCTGACAGCTCGGCCGCTGAGCCGGCCGGCCCCGGTGGCGCGCCAGTCTGGGCGCGAGAACGGGGACCCGCGGCCGCGCGCCGTGCCGGCGAGCCGGAGGATGTCGGCGGGCTAGTGATCTCCGCTGTCCGAGCCCGGCTACCTGGACTGAGCATCACAGAACAGGACATCGACCGTGCTCATCGACTGCCGGGACCGAACAACAAGGTGATCGTCCGGTTCGTCCGCTCCGGGCCTGGCAGCGTGAGGGACCAGCTCATGTCTCGGCGCCTGGAGCTGAAAGGTCAAGACCTCTTCATCAACGAGAGTCTGACCGCAGGCAAGAGTCAGATCTACCGCTCTCTACTTGAAGCAAAGAAGACCCAGATGATCTACACTGTCTTCACAAGATGGGGACACGTGTTCTTCAAGTCCGAGAAGTTCGGCACCAGCACTCGCGTGGACTCCATCGAAAAGCTAAGAGAGTTACGTTTCCCAGTAAAACAGTGATGCGCCTATTCCCAAGCATTAGTCAGCAGTTTCAAGTTGGTCCGATTGTACTTTTCGTTTGTTCCTTGTACTTGCTAGGTTTTGTTTACTTAGTTTTATTACCACTTTTTGTTTCGGGCTATTATTCATTGTTGCTATATGATGTAGAAGAACACTCTGTTCGTTTTAAGGTGCAGCTTCACATAGCCTGTTTCGCGTTTCCCTTTATACGTCAGCGAATCGCTTTTATTCAAACAAAGTTTAATTCGCCTAATTTATTGTCCTGGGCAGTGGTACTGGTTGCGGCCGGCGGCTGCGGCGGCGGCGGCGGCGGCCGCGGCGGCGGCGGCGGTGGCTGCGGCGGCGGCGGCGGCGGCGGCGGCGGTGGCGGCGGTGGCGGCGGCGGCGGCGGTGGCGGTGGCGGTGGCGGCGGCTGCGGCGGTGACTGCTGGGTAGCTATCAGCTTCAGCCAGTACCCAGAGTTAATAACCGTCCCCCTTTCAAGAAGCCTAGCCCGATATCTAACACAAGCAATGTTCAGGTGCACAAATGCGCAGTTTTACCTGTCAATACTCTATTTTTCTATCCAACATGGCTAGTATAAAGTTTATGTCCATGAATTGTAGAGGACTCTCCGGACACCAAAAGAGAAGAGACGTGGTCAACTTCTTAAAAAATACTGCATATGACATAATTTTCTTGCAAGATACACACTTCACTGCTAAAACATTAAGAAACTTTGACAAAATCTGGCCGGGGAAAGGATATCATGCTTGTAAGACTTCCAATAGTAGAGGCACCTCAATACTGATTAGGCAACATGTTCAACATAACATATTACTCGAACAGCAGGATAACAACGGTAATTACGTCATCCTCGTTTGCGAACTTGACTCAGGTCTATACACATTTGTCAATATCTACGGTCCAAATGAGGACAATCCATCCTTTTATAAACAAATAGATCAGTTACTGCAGCAGCTTCCGTGTGATAATATAATAATCGCCGGAGACTTCAATATGGTTATGGATATTCACCAAGACTCAAATTATCTGCACGATAATAACACGAATGCCAAAGAAGAACTAAAAAATATCATGCAAAAACATGAATTATCAGACATCTGGAGAAACTTTCATCCGATCAGAAAAGATTATACTTGGATGAAACCAACTCCCCTTAAGTATGGCAGGATAGACATGATTTTCATCAGCGAGCACTTAACAAATCAGGCTCAGGAAGTAGACATTAAATCGGGATATAGGACGGACCATAATCTTTTAACACTCACACTTAACACTACCGAAGAACCTCGTGGTCCCGGGTTATGGAAATTTAACGATTCATTATTAACTGACAACAACTACACTCTGAAGATTAAAACGTTAATTATTGAGACAGTAAAGCAATACGCAATCCCTATTTGCTCCACGCAGTTTTTGTGCAATAACTTAAATTTTGAAGAAGTACAACTTACCATATGTATTAAGCTGTTCTACGAAACTCTTTTGATGATGATTAGAGGAGAAACTATAAAATTCTCAAAAGAAAAAGCGCGAAACGCGAGAAAGGAAGAACAAGAAGCCATGGAAAAGATAAGAAAGATTAGAGAGAGTTTTGCACTCAGCGGTAGCGAGCACGACTCGGAAAAATTGCTAGTTGCACAAAAAAATCTCGAGAAGTTAAGGGAACCAAAAATTCAAGGTCTCATTACACGATCTAGAGTACGCTGGTACGATGAAGGAGAACGAAATACAAAGTATTTTCTTTCTCTGGAAAAAGCCAACGGAAAACGCAAGACTATTAAAAGATTAAACGTGGATGGAAAATCACTACACAAGAATAGCGAAATAATATCCGCATTTAGTAATCATTTTCAAAAACAATATCGCTCCGAAACAAACAACGAAAACGTTTCTGCTACTGAGTTTCTAAAATGCAACGTAACAAATAAGCTTAGCAGCGACCAAAAAGAAATACTTGAAAACCCAATATCAATGCGAGAACTGAGTACCGCAATAAACTCGATGAAAACCGGAAAATCGCCTGGTTCAAACGGTTTTACCGCCAGTTTCTTCAAACACTTCTGGGATCACATTGGTATTTTTCTCTTTCGCACATTCAAAAAAAGCATCGAGGAAGGCTCTTTGCCCATAACTTTTCGAGAATCAATAATTACACTAATCCCAAAGAGCGGGAAGCCTTTTGACTCTATTAAAGGATGGCGCCCCATCTCGTCGTTAAACGTAGATTTTAAAATAATATCATCCGTCATTACTGCAAGGCTAAAAAGCGTCCTAAATGACATAATATCACCTTCACAATCAGCATATATGAAGGGACGCTGCATTGCTGAGAACACCAGGCTCGTATATGATGTCATGCAAAAGCTGCACGACGAAAAAAGATCAGGTCTCGTACTTGCCGCGGATTTTGAGGCAGCTTTTGAAAGTATTTCTTGGAGGTTCCTAAATGAAGCCTTGAAACATTTCAACTTTGGAAAAAGTTTTA